ACGAGCAGCAGCGTGGCGGCCTGGGGCAGCAAGCAGGCAGCAGGAGGCGGCCGCGGAGCCAATGATGGTGGCCATCATCCTGAGATAAGTCCACACAAAAGAGCACTTCACAGCCATTCAGCTGCAGTTCATCTCTCCTCCTTGCCCCCGGCCTTGTCCATCTTGTCCCCCAGACAAAGGATTTCGCATCCCTTGCCCAGGACTCGTCCATCAAAGTCCTCCAGAGAAAGGATTCTACAGCCTTTGCTCAGGACTTGCCTGGACTCATTCATCTGTGTCCCCAGCAAGCTTTGAGACAATGATGTAAAAGAATCATCTCTTACACTCTCAGGCGAGTTGCTATCTCACACTGCCTGGAGTTATTGATGACAGAGTTGCTCTTTCAGCTCCCCAGTCCCAGCTGTCAGCCCTTCTGGCAGCTGTAGGAGTCGCATAGCAATGTCCTTAGCTATGGGACAGAGCAGGACCCAAGCAGGAGCCAGGATTTCACCTGTGACTTCACACTGACCAGTGCTAAATCCTCTGCTGCGTAGTTTTCATGTTCCCACGCACACTTTTTGAAGATCTGTTGTCAATCTGTGCCTTCTGATTTGCTAAGCTTTGCCAAGCTTGCTTGAGGCTTTGCAAATCAGTTCAGTTCTGGAGACCTCGCTCTGGATGTTCACATCTCTGGAGTTGAAGAGATGACTGGCAGTGTTCAGAGGCAGTCCCTATTTCATGTAATGTGCTTTAAATTCCTTTCTGCATCTCCAAGGTGATATGGGGCTTTCGAGGTTGACAGGACATTTCCCAGAGCTCAAAGGAGAACACAGGAAAAAAAGACTTCTGATGGCATAAACAGCAGCACTGTGTGATCTTCACTGGGCCACAGGGTGAGGAAAAGCAATTTAGGACATATTAATCACTAGGCCAATTTCAGAGACTACCTCCAGGGACCTGACCTACTTTGAACTTACACTGGCCAGTGATGCATTGCTTCCAAAAGTGTGTGTCCTGCAGCATGTGATTCATTTGGGGATACCGAATTGGAGAACCACATACTTCTCTTGTCTCTCCCCTGCTTTCTCCCATTTGCTTAGTATTAAAGTAGGCTTTCATCTACATTTTGAGTTTGGAGTGTTAAAGTGGCTTCATTGCAAAAGGGAATGCTTGAGGAAAGCTTGAGGTTTTTCCTCTGATATCCTGATAGCTGTGAAAAGCTCCAAGAAGTCACTGTCTCCGCTGATCGGATGGAAGAATAAGGAGAAAAAGCTTAAATTAAATGCTCTGCTAATATTCATAAACTTTAAGGGCTTTGTATCCAAAGCTAGTAAGAGTCTGATTTGCTTTGGCAGTCTGAGCCTCGTGTAGTGCTCCCACAAATGTGCATAACATAGAAACAGCAAAGCAAAACTGAACACCTACGTTTAACTCTGATTGGGAACTGGGGAGAATAAAATCTGGGAAAAATACATCAGCCATCCTCTTCCCACCTCACTGTCCCAGATATGCAGAGTTTAAACACCAAATTAGTCTTGAATCCTGTGTGAACTGAAACATCTGCCTGAGAGCTTTCTGTGGGTCTGTGGGAAGCTGCTGGCCAAGGAAGAAGCTCTGCAGACACAGACTGGGAACACAGGCAATGGGCAAGCGCAGAGGTGGAGCTTACACGGGATTTTTTGATCAGTGTAAAAACCCTGAGACAGCTCAGTACCAACCAGAGCTCCTGGGGCACAGAGAAAGGGAGCAGAGAGCAGAGCGCAGTGCTGGTGGTGGGGAGGGCAGCCGCCGTCCTCCTCGCCCTGCTCAGTGCATCAACCACCACCGGTAGCACCCAGGATTCCTGTCCAGGTGAGTGCCACACCAGTCCTGCTGCCTGGGGCAGGCTGTTCAGTCCGCCCTCCTGGCACAAGGGCCATTACAAGGCCCTGGGGGAGAGGGGGGGATTTTTCCTTCTATGCACCTTTTTAATTCAGCTGCAGATGGAAGGCTGCGGGTGGGTGACGAAGCCTCAGCTGCGTCCTTATGAAGCTGCTGGCTCCAGTCAGAAGTCCCCTCAGCAGTGGGGTCTCCAGGAACAGGTTTCCCGATTCTTTCGATTCCCAGTGCAAGATGTCCATCTGTGGATCTGCCCCGGGCTCTGCCGGATGCAGAGCTGTATGAAGGGACAATCCAGTGCGTGCTGTGTGCCTGGCACCTGGCAGCTCAGGCACACCACACCATGCAGTCTTCTGTCTGTGTTCCCCGGGAAGGCAAAAGGTGTGATTTGAAACTGATCTAGTGTCATAAAATGGGACAGAACATTTACAGTCCAGACCCGCCATTGCCATTTACTCTTTGTCATCAATACACCACAGGATACCTCACATCTTTTGTTTTATCAAGCTATAGTACCTTTGTCATGCGTGTAATATCCCATATAACAGCCTTCTTCCCAGTAAACTCCTCTGAAGTTAGAGAGGTTCCATGCCTCTCTCTTCTAATGTTAACTCATACAATCATGCTGAGCTCCCATCCTCAGGTAGGACATGACTTCTGCCTGTCTTTGCCTTTCGCACTGTTTCTGAAGCCCAAAGGGCTCAACTTCTTATCCCAAACATTTCAGAATCATAATAATCTCCAGGATGATTGTCTTCATTTACGCAGAGCTGAAAATAGTGGGACTTGGGAAGGCAGACCAACTTGCTGTTCTTCAAGGATGCCCAGGGATCCCAGGTGCAGCTGGCCGAAAGGGAGAACCAGGCCTTTCAGGTACAAAAAGTAAGATTCCAAAGATACCAGACTGCTTTTTCGTTTGTAGAAAGATGTGTGAAGGGGACACCCCTACCCATGGGAGTCCCTGGAGTTTTTCACAGCCAACTCATAGGGAAAGCGAATCACCTCAGTAAGGGAGCAGCTCCACTGCAGCAGAAGCCACAGACTGGCTCCAGAGTATGCAAAGTTCATAGGAACTCACTGTGAGCTGTAAATCAGGACTTTGACTGGCAGTATCATAGAATCAGAGTCACAGAATGGCTTGAGTTGGAAGGTAACATAAAGATCATCACATTCCAACCCCTTGCTGTGGGCAGGCTTGCCAACCACCCGATCAGGCTGCCCAGTACCAATATAATATAGCTTTAGCAGAAGAAATGGAGTGAGATATGTTGTCAAGTATGATCTGATGAAAAAAAAAAGCTTTCTTGCTTTTGCAGAAGTTGAGGCCCAGCTGTCCTGACTTCTGTATTATCTTTCCTGTGGTCACACTGCATTGCACACATATGAACAGTGTTTTTTCTTGTAGGAGAAATGGGAAGCAAGGGATCCCCTGGGAAAGCAGGACCGCCCGGTGCAAAAGGTAACCCATAATATATTTAGCTTTAATCCATAAAATCCAGGGTGTACATAGGATAACTGGATCTACAGAAATGAGACTCTTAAGAAACAGCTCTGAAGTCCTACAGGTCGGGCAGATTGGAGATGTGGATCTCACATGGGATGGGTACTGGGAACTGCGTCCTTGGGTGGGATCTCAGAGTAAGATATTGCTCTTCTTTACAGAGTTTCTCTTGTCAGTCCCATAAAATCAGACCTCTCCTCATTCTCCTATTGCTGGAGTGGAGACAGCTGGTACGGGGTGAAGCAAGGAAGGAATGGGCTGACCACCTCCAAAATCAGGAGCTGACTTATTTCACCTCTGGCTCTGCACAAGCTGGGGGCACAACTTCATGAAAGCATGTTGGACTGAAGGATTCAAAGCCATGGCCCAGTCTCTGGAAACAAACTGCTACTTCCAGCTCCCAGCACAAGGTGCCACCTAGAAACTGAGTGTGACACACTGAACAGCTGGGAAAGCAGTCCCTTTGCATGTTGAATATGTGCATATTTCCTAGTCAAAAGAATCAAAGACTTCAGCAGAAACCCCCAGCAGGAGGTGGGTGAATGTATTAAACAGCATCTGGGATCTGTAAGATCCCAGACTGGAAACAGAAAGCCTACACAAGAAGGACGGGCACTTATCTCTTGCCTGCAACCTGCTGCAGATATGGGGAGCACTGCTGGCCCTGCCTTCAGCCAAGACAGTTAGCAGAGAGCACCGTGGCTTTGCACCATTTCCAGCATTCTCCTGTACATTTTGGGATGTACCTGGAGGGGCAGGAGCAGCTCCCTGGGGAGCTGAATTCACTTCCTTCGAGCCACCTGTGATGAACTTTTCTTCTTGTCTCTTGCAGGAGCAGCTGGAGACCCTGTATTGCCTGGACCAAAAGGTAAACAATGCAGAGCTGAATTTATGATGTGTGTTCAGTTCAGCTTCCACTCTGAGTCGCTCTGGAAAAACACACCAGGTGGGAGCAGCTATAGAAAAATAAAGGCACCCTGAAGGGCAGTGGGTAGGGCCGTCTGACAACAGCCACCCCGCGCTGCAGGGGCTCACTGCAGGGCCTTGCTGCTGCCCCAGGCATTGTGAGCAGCCCTTCTCCAAACGTGTTACCAACAAGAGCTTCCCACAGCATGGGAGCATGGTCACTAGTTTGCTCCATGTCACAGCTGCTCCCAGAACACCTCCTAAAGCCCTTCCCAGCAGTAGCTGTTCCCCTGTTGGAGCTTTTGATCCTGCTTCCCTCCCTGGGTGTTTCCAACTCCTTCCCACTCCCACCTATTCCTGTTCCATGTGTCCCATCACAGTGGGAGTGTGTGGCACAAAGTGTTGCACCCCGCTCAGTGGCAGGCAGAGCATACAGGTCCAATAGAGACGTGTGTTATGTCAGCCTTGCCTTATGGACATCCTGACCCCTTACCAGCTGGTGGAGGAAAACATCTCATTAGAGGTCCAACAGCCCCAGGCTCCATGTCCCAGGTCCAACTGGTAGTGAGGCTGAGGGTTCACTCCCAGTAGGCATACATATACTTAAAATAAATATAGATAATTTACAAGGGCTGCTCTGAAAGTACTGCCTCCTGTTTTATGATGTTGGCTCACAACACCAGAAACAGACGTTGGTGGGATGGCAGCAGAGGCCAAACCTTCCTATCAACATCCTGTTGTGTTGTTGCTGTGTGACAGAATGGTGCATGACATGGGAGTGTGTGTGGAGCAGAGGGGTGTCATTAAATTCTTCTATGCAGAAGAAGTATCAGTGGGTGCCATTCGCTGATGCTGGTGAACACTGATGGAGACCAAAGAGGGGATGTGAGCACAGGGAGGGGTGGGTGCTGTGTTTCAGCAGTGGCAGTGGCTACAGTGGGTCACCTCTGCCAGTGCAAGTTTATACAAACACAGCATGCAGGTTCTTGTTCATCACTGGTGAAAAAGCAGAGCTAATGGTGACTATGCTGAAAATCTGTCTTTTGTAGCTGATAATTTGTTCTATCAAACAGTGTTACTATGCTCACTGTATCTGTTGTAGATTCCAGGGAAATAAATAGGAGGCATTACCTTCGGAGGAACTTGCACAGATGTAGTGCATGCATATACAAACAGACACAAATACACATCCATACATGTCCATCTTCACAGACACTGAGCACTCAGATTAGCACAGGAAGCACCAACAGCTGAGCAGGACATACACAGAATGTTTCCGTTCACGTTTACTGACTCACACTGCCAGCAGCTGCCCTGGCTCTGTCCCACTGTCTGCTGGCACCTGGGCAGCCCTCCTCCAGGTGCTGTGTGCTTCCCATGCACACACAGACACACAGAACAGACAGTTCTCACCCGGGACAGTGTTACAAAGACAATAGGACAGTGGTTACCAGGACAGGGCATAGCCACACAAGTACAGATCAGCTATCTATCTTCTCCCTGACAGCCATTTGTGCCCCCCTACTCCTCTCCTTCCTTCCCAAATCACTTAAATCCATCCTTTTTTTGCACCTTTGGATCCCACCCTCAACATCCCACAGTAAGTTCTGTGCAGTCTCAAAATCCCCTTCCTCTGCATCCAACACCATGCTGCCTCCCTGCACAGCTGTGCAATGGGCTGAGCGGGGGCTGGTGCTGGTGGTGCTGGGTGTCATGGCTGGGTGTGGGGCTGGGGCTCAGGATCTGGCTCGAAAAGCAAACAGCATTGCTGTGGGAGAAGGAAGGACCAGATGTGGAAGGCAGAGAGAAATCCATGGTGTTGTTTGCCCAACAGGAGCAAAAAGAGAGCCAGGATTTCCAGAACCTTTGGTGAGTTTTGTCCTGGGCCTTTTGTGCCACCATCAGCACTGTGGAACAGCACAGTGACGACAGCAAGGAGGCAGAAGCCCAGCACCAGAGGTCAGGACAAGGCAGCAGCAGTAACCAGTTTGTAGTGACACCAAAACGCAGAGTAAGGAAATAGCAGTAGGCCTGTTTGCTTCTCACAGCCATGTGCAGCTTGTGTGTGGCTCCTTGTAATCCCTCCAGGCTGGGGTTGGTAAGGACACCTACATCTGGTAAGCGCATCTTCAGACTCTCCAAAGCCTCCTTGCAGATGAGAGAGATCTGAGCACATCTATCTTTTAGAAAGTGCCCATCACCCTGTGATTAGTGGCTCAAGGAGCAGGATTTGTCTGATGTAGGTGCACACCTGCAAGGCTGGGCTTGGGGCTGTAGTGCTCTCTGTTGCAGTGAGCACACTGTAACTCCTTCCACTTCCACTCTTTCCCTAGTCTGCTCAAAAGCCAGGAACTGCCAGGAGCTGCTGGATAAAGGCAAGATCCTGATCACCATGCACCCCCAAGGCTGCAATGCTACCACTGTCTTCTGCGGTATGGACACGGATGGTGGAGGATGGATTGTGAGTAGGATGGGGAGAGGGAAGCTTTTATTTCCCTACTGTGATTTTTATTGAGACTTCAAATGATAGCACTAAAATAGCAATAAAAAGGGAGGAAGGCACTAAGGAGAAGTGAAGCCAGGTGGAGAGGGCAGCTGAAGTTCCTGTGACCAAGCCTGGGTGAATGCAGGGGATTCTTTTGGGAGACGTGTCTGGGAGCAGGCTGAGCACCCCAAACCCACCCATTCCTGCTCAGCCAGCAAACTCCTCCTCATTTCCAAGCACAGAGGAAGGGAATTTGCGGAGAGAGATCTGCAGTCAGGTTCAGCACTCCCAGCTGCCCTCTGGAGTGGTGTAGGCAGTGGGGCTTTGCTGAGGCCATGCCACCAGCAGGCAGGCAGTGGGGCTTCTGGAGCAGAACGACTGGCAGGGATGGACTTCTCATTTCCCACAGGTTTTCCAGAGATGCTTGGATGGGTCAGTGAATTTTTTGCGAGACTGGAATTCATACGAACGAGGATTTGGCAACCAGCTGATGGAGTTCTGGCTGGGGAATGACAACCTTCACTTCCTCACCTCTCTGGGTAAGGGCTGCCTGCTCCCCGGACTGGGGCAGAATGCAATCACTGCACAGCACTGCCATTAACAGACTTGAGCATCCCACATTCCTCCTGGGCCCCAAAGGTAATCCTAACCAGCATGCAGGCTCCTGCAGCCCAATGCACCACAGATATTCACTCTAAAAAGAGAAGTCAGAGAATTGAATGAGCTGCCTGCATGACTTATCCTGGAGATAACACATCTCCCTGTCGACACTGTGAGAACAGTCATGTTGCCCACAGACAGCCTTGGATTCACAGTGATGTACAGGACAGGCAGTTCTGCAGGAATTTGATGTCTATCACAATCTCTCCAGCAGTGGCAGCTCCTCTCAAGTCAGCTGAGGGCTCCTTTACCCCATCTTCTGAATCCCAGTTGAATGCTTACCACCAGCCCAACAGAACCACTGTCCTCCTCCTCTTTTAGGAGCATTGACCTGAGAGACTTCAACAACAGCTACTATTTTGCCAAGTATGCTTCCTTCCAAGTTTTAGGAGAGTCTGAGAAATACAAACTGGTTCTGGGAGACTTCCTCGGTGGGAATGCTGGTAAGTGAGCAACTTACTTGAAGGACTTTCCCAAAGCATTTCAGTAACATTCAGCATTTACAGCCTAGAGCAGTGTCACATAGAGTCCTTGCACAACCTACATTTTGGGTCAGTACTTAAAAACTGCCTGTGGTGACCCAGATGCAGTGACCTCTGGGTGCAGGGAAGGAAAGGGATGTGCACCCCCTGCAAATGTGTGACCCAGAGTGCTACCTACAAGTCCTGCCATGTACTTCAGCAACAAATGCAGAATCAGGTTACCTGGTATGTTGGGGTTGTGTTGTTGTTTCTTCTTAAAAAACATACAAATACTCTGCAAAATTCAATATCCTTCACGTGGGAACGAGTGAAACCAACAAGTGAGATAGCAGTGCTCTGGGTTTATGAGCTTTGCACACTGTCTGCTGGTCCAGACCTCAGAAAGTGCAGAGAATGCAAGCGGTGCAAGAAAGTGGACACCTGTGTGACTGCAGGCAGAATCTGGCCCATGTGCTGCACAACCATAGGTGGGTTCTCTGCGTGTGTTAGCAGTCCTAGCAGAACTCAGGATACCGCTCCTTTTCTGGGTGACCAAGGAGACTATGCAGGCAACCAAGAGAATGGGATTCAAACAAACTGCCTTACATCCAACCAGGCCCCTGCTGCCCTGCAGTTGGTGCTCAGGAACACGAGGTTCCCTTTTGCACTACTGCAGTAACTGTGAGTGTGTTCTCCCTGCAGGAGACTCTTTATCATAGCATGAGGCCATGTCATTTTCAACAGCAGATCAGGGCAATGACATGAGATCCTTCAACTGTGCCACAGTCTCCAAGGAGGGTGGTGGTGCAACGACTGCCACACATGCCTCTAACCTCAGCAGCACGTACCGGCCGGGTGCACGTGGGAGCTGTGCTGACAGCATCAACTGGAAGACGGGCAAAGAATGCCATTACTCCCATAAATGAACAGAAGTGAAATTCAGGCCAGTAGCGCAGGAGGATGTCTGACTGGCACTGGCAGATGCCACCCAACAGAAGACAGAAAACATCACATTGTTTGAGGGCGAGATCAGACCAAGAAGGACACTATAAGTTGTGCCTTTGGCCCAGAGCAGCTGTAGCCTTTAGAGATCAGAAGGGAGCAGTACTGCTTTGAGCTTTTGTAAGCCCTGACTTTAATCCTGCTCTATCTCCAGCAGCCCTGCTGATGCTGAGTAAGCTTTTCTGAATGTAAAGATTTGATGAAAAGACTACCTGGGTGGTAAGGCTACTGTTTTTCAGTAAAACTCTCAGATGGTCTGACCCTACGTGGCACATCCTGGTATTCTTGTCTCTAATCTACGTACACTAAACCTTCAGTGTTTTTGCAGCCTTTTTTCCTGTTGGATCCAAGAGCTGCCGGAAAGGCACTGAATTCTCTTCCCCATTGCCCAACAAATCTCACAACAAACTGGAAAGGCCCAGAGCCAGCTCCAGCCATTCCTGTGTTTTCAGGATCTCTCTTTTGCCACTGTGGACCAAGAGCTGGAAAAAACAGTCTGTCCAGCAGTGAGTGGCACTAGGACAGTACAGCAGTCCCAAGTCAAGCCTCGTAGAAGGAGACACTGTGGAAACCAAATGTTAACTGCATTACAGTGACACATCAATCAGTGGAAATAGTGTATTTATTTGTGTGGGTTCTGCAGGATCCCATATTTATCACACTTGGCGCACAAGTGTGCAGCAAGCTGACCCCCAAGGTCAACTGAGCTGGGGCTGTCCCTTCCCAGCACCTCATGCCCACACCACCAGCACTGGGGGAGGTGGGTGGCGCCTGGCTGGAGAGGAGAATGATGCTCTCCTGCATCCCTCAACCAACAACAGTGAGTTGGCACTGCAGCCCCTTCTGCAAGGCAGGAAAGCGCTCCCTGCAGTGATACAGCTGTGTGAAGGAGAGGGTCCTCAGGGCTTCACAGCCCTCCCCAAGTCCCATAGCTACAGCAGCCATGGAGGGGGCTTGCACAGACTCCAGCCAGGAAGAACTGAAGCACTAGGTCAGGATCCATCCCCCTGGGGAGACATACATCATATCCAATATGCACTAGTCCACGTGGATTTCCTCTGTAGTTATTCAGAACTTAGTGGAGTTGATGCAGTCTAGGGTACAGTGATCCTAAAGAAGCCACACAGCAAAGGTCCTGCTGCTTGGAGTTGCAGGGAAACATGGTGAGGAGAAGGAAGCAGACCCTGAGCACACAGGGCACTGCTGTAACTGCAGACAGGAAGAGCACCTTCCTCCATGCAGCCTCCAAGGTCTGGTGACTGTCACCAGAGATGTCACTGTCACCAACCCAGAGATCCCACTTCTCCAAGAGTGGTTCTTGCACCTCCATCAGCTCCTACACCTGACAGTGTGGAAGGTGCAGAGAGGAGTCCTGAGATGTTGTAAAGGACATGCCCTAAAGGAACATACCCCCAAACTGTCAGCATGCCATCTAGTGCCTCTTGCTAGCTGTCCTTCCCATGAGTCTCTCCAGAAGAAAAGCAGAATAGCTCCAGTCAGTCTCTGATGATCCCGGTGGTCACTGCTCACCTCAGCTTTTCTGTGTCCCAGAAAGCTCAAGAATTAGGTTTGCATTTTGTTTTTGCTCTTCAGCAGCTCTGGAAAGGAGTGGCCCTGAAGACCAGGAATAACAGCATCCCTGGGTTCCTCCTGTTGTTCCCCCTGGTGTAAATCACAATGGACAAGGACAGGGGATGAGGTGAGAACCTGCTTTCTGCTTCACTCCAGGACAGGGAGCAAGGAGGTGAGCAGCTGGAAGCAGCTCTGATGGCTGGCTGGTGCCAAAAGGGGAAGCAGCCCTGTAGCCAGTGAGAGCCACTTTCAGAGATATTCCTGTGCAGTTTGGGACGGCCCAACACCCGTGGGATTGCTGCCAGCACCCAGGGACTCTGCAGCAGTTCTTCGCAGGGAGGAACACGGCAGTTCTTCCACGCACCCAAGATTTCACAGCCAGAACTGAAAGATGACAGACTTTAAGGGATGGAGATTTGGAAGGAGAGATCTCCTTCCTACCTAACACCAACAACTGCTCACATGGGAATGTAATAAAACAGCTTCAGCACCTCCATACAATTTGCATTTGTTTGCACTGGATGTGGTGGTCTAAAAGAAAACATCTCCCTCTGACTTTTTAAGCTGTCCTTGTAAGGCAGCTGCACTGAAAAACAACCAGTGCCATTTATGAGTCAGCACAAAACAAGCTGCGTCAGGGGAAGAGAAGTTATTTCACTGTGCTTTGGTCCCTTCAGCTCATCATGGGCTGCTAGGATGGAAAAGGTGAACCCACTGCCCTTTGCATGGTGCTTGTGCTGCTGCTGTGCCCCTAGTTGAAGCAACAGATGCTGTAAGGAGCCCCACGCCACGGGCACCAATGGCACCACAGGCAAAGCACCACTTTCTCACAGCTAACAGTGCTCTGTCTTCACCAAGGTTTTATCCTGCCAGCTGTGCTGACAGAGCATGAAGATGTTCATTGTGTTTGGTGCTGTGCCTCAGCAGCAGCACTCTGCACAGGATGAAATGGCCATGGAGCCAGGCAGCAGCAGAACCACAAGTCCTTCTAGCAAAGATCTCCTTTGTCACCTGAGACTCAGCATGGGGCTAGATGTCTCTTCCGTGGGAGCGGAGGGGGCAGACAGAAAGCTCAGCAGAAACACAGCTCTGTACCCACCCATGGCTGCCCTCGGGATGCCAAGCAGATGCAATCTCACAGCCATACAGATGTCAGCAGACAGAAAGTGTCATTCCCTGCTCTGAGCTGCATAACCCAGTCCAGCTGTGTCCAACCGCTGCCCTCTGCCTCCAGGAGAGCATGCAGACCCCCCTGGCCCATGAGGCTCGCAAAGACCCTCCCATCATGTCCAAGAACTGGGGACAGTGCTGGTGGTCTGGGGCAAGCCCACAGCAGAGGGACCAACTGCTGCAGTGCTGGTGGTGGCTGGCTGCCCCTGAAGACACAAGGGTACATCAGTGCTGTTTCCACTGCCATTACAGTCCATTTCACTCCACTGGTCAAATAAAAAAGTTGGAACTCTGCCTTCCACCAGGTTGAAAAGCTTCCATCCTTTTTGGTCTTCTGCTTCCCGAGGCTTCACTCCTCCTACTGGCAGCACTCCCCAGCAGGAAGCTGTTTGCTGGTGTGTTGCTGTTGAGCAGATTTCCTGTGCACAGCTGTCACAACCCAGAAAAGCACAACAGTAGCTCCAGGGATGGAGGATTCTCTGGACATGTGGCTGGGCCAATGGTCCTGGTGCCATTCAGTGTGTTTCATCTTCCTTATCATGAAGAATCTCTGCTGAAAACACTGCACTCCACCACAACATCCATCTCAGCACACTACTGTCACTCCTTTATGTGGGTGCCAGGGCACAGAGACACTGAGCCACATGTGACACCAAATTCTGCCCAAGATCTCGAGATCAGGTCCACATGTAGGTCTGCAATGCTATTTGCACACCTCATTATACAATGTACAAGTGCTTTTTGGTGCACAAAGGGCCCCTATTCCAAGAGCTTACAATGTACAAGAAGAGACACAGCTCCACGGCCACAAAGCCATCACACCTACTGACAACCACAGATATTTCGGTCCTAAGTACAACACATCCCTCCCAATGAGGCCTGGCAACCAGCTGAACTGGAGACCTGTGGAAGGATAAGAGGTGCACCTCTCCCACCTCCAAACCCTGACAGAGGGCTGTGGGGAGAAATCCAGATAGCCGCAGTGCTGGGACAGAGCACAGCCCCAGTTCTGAGAGGAGATACTGGTTGGTTGGCTCACACCTCGGCGAGGCACACCTTCCACACTGCTCCCCAGAGCCTCACTGAATGCTGGTGTGCCCCACCAGCATCTCTACACAATGCAGCCATCCCTGTGGGGCCACCCAAGGAGGGTTTTAAGGCTTTGCAGCATACGGCAACTCTGAGGCTCTCTGTGTGCCTCAAAGCCCCCAGCTTTGCTCCACAGGGATTCCAGCCCCTACAGAGGTTCCCCAAGCACAGAGGGGACGTGGAAGGAGAAAGCCATGAGCCCAGGGAGCGCAGGGAAGCAAGAGAGGGCTGCACTTCTGTAGAGGATTTGGAAAGCATCCTCTAAGGGAATCCAGGTCCCTGACTTGCCATCCAGGATCATTTACTTTTAACAAGCCAACAAAGGCTGTTTGCTGTCTGAATTACATCTGTTAAAAACCTCAGATAAGACCTTGGTTAAGTCTCCTCTCCATTTTTCAATCTCAGAAATTAGAGACTGAGACTATGATTAAATAAATACCAGTGGGTCACTTAGTTCTTCCGTTCTCCACCCTCTTTCTTCACTTCTGACCCTCCATTTACAGTCCATCCATCGGGCTTTGCAGGGGGCCCACAGCTCAGCTCAAAAGTGGATTGTCCTTCCTGGGCTCCAGGCTCTCTGCAACGTCTTCCAATTCATCCAAGATATCGGAGAAATACGGCCTCTTGAACGCTTCCACCTGGAATGAGAAGGGAGAACTGAAGAGGACATCTTGGACAGGTGGGTGCAGTGCGGCAGCTCTCCTGGGTCCCCCATGGCCGAGCGGCACTCACCCACTGCCAGAAATGCCCAGACTGTGCACCTGCACACAGAGCTTTCTGGCATCACACGCTGCAAGTTGACATCTCCTGACATCAGTGGGGTGTGATAACTGCTCAGCCCAAAGGCAGTCTGAGCAGAACAGGATCAGGGGAAAAGCTAGAAAGGACACGTCTCCTCCCCACCTCTTTTGGGGTGTTCCCAAAGCTGGGGTTCATTCCTTTTCCTTTTGAAGGACAGTGAGGTCCAGATCTGTATGCACTCCTTACAAGAGAAAAGCCAGCAACACGGTGGGGGCACCCCTTAGTCCAGGTCACCCCACTGTGCTGCCCTGGGGCTGCCCAGCCCTGGCACAGGCGCTCCAGCCCCCGCTCCAACCTGGGCACAGAGCAGTCCCAGCAACACTTTAGCAGAGCCATCACCAAACATCTTGCCTTAGGGGACGTCTGTCAGAGGTAGAACACCCCCACACAGATCACAGCCAGTTGCTACATCACTTGTGCTCTGACTCGGGGTGAGTTACTCAAGAGAAACAGGCAGGACTCACCCGACAGCAACAGGCAGCAAGGTCCAGCACCCGCCGAGGGCATCCGCTGACCATCCTGCAGAAAGCAGCGACATCCAGGCCATAGTCCTGAGGGAAGGAGAGGGCGCGGGGCAGCAGCCAGCCTGGCAGGAGGGATGGGGCCTCTCCAGGAAAAGGGGGAAAACAGGCTCCTCTCCTGCTCAACGTGTGTCCCACCTACTCCTCACTTACAGAGATGGGCCTTGTCTGGGTTTTACGCTCCTCTAAGCTGGAATGCCATTCCTTCACCTCCCAGCCACCAGGATAAAAGGCAGGAGGGAGTATCTGGATGATCTTTTAGATCCCCTGCCACCTAAGCCTACGCCACCTATGATTCTACATTCATGGACTGAAGCTTTTAGGGTCTCAATCACAGCTGTCTCCCTGATGGCACAAGGGAACCATCAGCTCTGCCAGGAGGGCACAAGTAATCATTAAAAGAACAGGGAGATGTAGCAGCACCTTTCTGCTTGCTCTGTGCTCTCCTGCAGAGCAACGTACCCTCCAGGAAGAGCACAGCAACAAGCAGCACAAAGCAGAACCAACATGTGGAGGACCATCCAGGCTTCCAACTGCTGCTGAGAGCCACCAGATTCACCAGCTGTTCCCATAGCACTGTGGAGCCTTTACTCTGCATGGAAATCAGCAATCTGCTCTTTTCTCACTGGATTTTTCACTCTTGTTGTGGAAAACGCTTCCCTATCTCACTTTGCAGGAGGGAAATGTTGTAAATATTGAAATAAAAAGGCCACATTTCTAGAGAAGCCAACTGTCTTCAAATAACCTGTGAATTAGCCTCAATGAATCTGAAAATATACTAGGGCTGATCTGAAAGTACTGCTTCATGTTCTATGATGCTGGCCCACAACACCAGAAACAGACGTCGGTGGGATGGCAGCAGAGGCCAAACCTTCCCATCAATATCCTGTTGTGTTGTTGCTGTGTGACAGAATGGTGCATGACATGGGAGTGTGTATGGAGCAAACATGTGGAATTGAATTCCTCCGTGCAGAAACAATGCCAGTGAGTGCCATTCATTGATGCTTGTGACCACTGATGGAGATCAAAGAGAGACCAAAGATGTGAGCACAGGGAGGGGTGGTGGTGCATTTCAGCAGTGGTGACAGCAGCAGTGGTCACCTCTGCTGGTGTGGGTTTGTACAGCACAGTATGCACTTCTTGCTCATCATTGGCAAAAATGCAGAGCTATTGGTGCTGCTATGTTGAAAAACAGTGTTTTGCAGCTGAGAATTTGCTCCATCAAACAGCGTTACTCTGTTCACTGTATGTTTAACTTTCCATGGAAACAGGAGGCATTACTTTCAGATCAACCTACATACTCCTGTGATGATAGCTGTGTTTCATCTGCCGCTTCAACGTAGATATTGAAATGCCAATGCCAAATGGACCATTTGGAATTAAGATCTTTTAACAAAAGAGTCACTTCTCATTTTGTTGGTGCAACCAAAATTTTGATAAGCAGATGATTCCATTTGTGTACTGAAAATTTTGTCATCAGATTTTCCCACAATTAAAACTCTGGAGTGACACCTCAGTACGCACACATATATGTGTGCAAGTCTGCACGGCCCAGAGAGAAGCTGCAGTCCAGAATCATGGAGCAACATGAACAAACAACAAAACAAAACAAAAGGAACAAAAAAGGAACAAAAGGAATGAACCCCAATACTGTTAAATTTGGGAATTATTACCTGAGTTCTGGGAAGTACTTCGGGATCTGCTGGGATCCTGCCCAGGATTTCACAGAGCACAATGCCAAAGGAAAACACATCCACCTGCAAGAAGGGTGAAAGAGGTGGGCTCAGGGCTGCATAGAAGGCAAACTGCAGGAAAGAGGAGCACCAACAGCAGCAGGCTCCTCCATTAGGGGATGCCTGCCATCTCGTGCAGGAGCTCTGCTGATGAGCCAGGAGCTGGCAGTGGTGCCATACCTTCCTGTCGTAGGGCTCTCCCCGCAGCATCTCAGGAGCCATCCAGAAGGCAGAGCCCACCAGGGACAGCTTCCTCTCTGCATACTGCACAGGCAGCTCCACCACTTCTCTGGCCAGCCCAAAGTCTGCCACCAGCGCCTCGCGGCCACGCGGTGTCACTCGGATGAGGCAGTTCTGAAAGGAGACCACAGGGATGTGGCATGGGCTGTGGCAAGGAAGGGGCCAGCTGCTACAGAGCCCTGTGCACACAGGCTGCAACCTGAGTGTGCAGCTGATCACATCCGGAGCCAGAAGTAGTAGGAAGGAGCCGTTCCTCAGCCCACCTCCATCAGTTCACTGCCCACCCCGTGCTCTCACAGTGCGGTCTGCATGGCCCTCAGTGCTGCCCCATCCTGACATCTCTGCACTGAGATTCCCAAAGGCACTCAATATGGGCACGGTGATCCACATCCTTTCATCTGAAAGAGACCTAGAAACGTGCACATCAGCTTTGCTCAGTCAGCCCAAGGCAGGCAAATCACAGCCACGGCCCTCACTGTGCAGAGCTATACACCCCTAATAATGGCTTCTGAAGGAATTCCTACAAAATTATCTTGAGGTTTCTCAAAAACCCCAGTGACTTTAACCTATTCAGATCCCTAGATTTTACTCCTTGGCACCTGCTCCCAGGGAGCCAGCAGAAACTGCAAACAGAAAATGGCTCCAATTGGAAGGGCCCCCACAGCCCCGAGCCCCAGTTCTGCCATGGGCTGGCTGCCCCTCAGCTCAGATTGCCCAGGGCCCATCCACGGCCTTGGGCACCTCCACAGCTCTGGGCAGTAGTGCCGGGACCTCACTGCCCTCTGGGTAAAGGATTTCCCCCACATCTAACCTAAATCTTGCCTCTTTTAGCTTAAAGCCATTCTCCCTCGTCCTATCGCTGTCTGCCTGTGTAAAAAGCCCAGATGGCTCCAGTTCTCACTAACAGCCAGACACCAGGTAAAGGCTTCCATCTTTTCAGCCAGCCTACCACCAGGTTTCCCAGGTTTCCCCAGAGAAGCACAAACTTCTTCCAGGGCTGCACCTCCGCAGTGAGACTGAAAGGTGAGGTGCAACCTGCCAGCACTCCTTGCCTTCCACAAGTAGGAGCAGAGGACCCACAACCTGGGGTCTCCAGGTCACTGCCCTACACAGCCTCTGCAGGGTCCCCTAACGCAGCTCCCCTCCAGCTGTGTACCTTGGAGTTGAGATCTCGGTGGTAGATGTTCTTGGAGTGCAGGTAGATCATGCCTCTGGTGATGTCAGAAGCTAAGTCCACCTTCTCCTTCCATGACAAAGCAATGTCTTTGCTGGCCAGGAGCTCCTCCAGGCAGCCCCCATTCACATACTGTGAAGAGACAAAAGGCAGCACCTGTGCAGCTGGACGCAGGGTCTCCTGGAGCCCCTCACGTGTAGGAACAAAATAAGGCCTCCCAGTGCCAGCCCAGGCTTTCCCATTCAGCCACAACACTGTGCCAGAGCCACCTCAAAGGTACTGCCAGGCTGCATCCCAATATGCCTACTCTAAAAATCCTGCTCCTCTGCTCCCCCACGCTGGCCTGTCCTGGTCCTCTGGTGGTACTGGGCCACCACGAAACCCTTCATGGCCACTCTGCCTGAACCTCACAGCACCTGTGCCCAGCTCCAGCCATGAGAGGCTGTGGAGCAGAGCAGACCAGAAGCCTCCCCAAGGCAGTCTGCTCATCCAGTCACTCACAGCTCCTTGCCTGCCCAAAGCACAGTTAAAGGCAATAAACTTTTACCTCCAGAATGGGGTACAGCTTGTCATCCTTTACGCATATCCCAAGGTACCTAAGCAGAAGGATGCACCAAAACAAAGAAAACATGCCATCAAGGTTCCATTTGATCCCTCCCCACAGAACTGCCACAGAGACACTGAGGCAGCCCCAGCCCCCACCAGTGTCCCTGCCCACAGCCAGACATCTTGCCTACCTGACGATGTTGGGGTGGGAGAGCTTCTGCAGCAGGCTGATCTCACGCACTATCACCTCCTGGTCCACATCATTCTTGTAGATCTTCACCACCATCACTTTACAAGCAGCAGCAGCCTGGGTCACCTGGAGCCAAGGGTGGAGCAGGACACGTCAACCTCCAGGTGTCTGCCAGCCCCTCCAAACAGCTGCACCCCTTCCCAGCCAAAGCCCTGGCTCCTGTTTCCCTGCTGCCCAGAGCTTTGGACAGCCACCAGCACAAGGGCAAGGTACTGTCCTTCCCACACCAGTTCCACTTTGTGACACCTGACATGGTGACTGGGGACAGCCAGCGCCCTCCTGCCTCAGCACACCAGGACACTCAGCCAAAATTTAAGTCACTTTGGCTGGAGCAGTTTCTCAGCCCACACTGAGTTACAGAAGAGCTGACCTTCTCCCCTCCCCTTACTTCACTGCCTCATCTGTCCATCTGCCCCTCTCCCTCCTGCTGGATCTCATCACTGCTGCTCACACCACACGTCCCCACTGCTGCCTGAGCCTACATTTCACTTTCATTTAGAGCTTTGGGTTTTTTTGTTTATTTTGATAGTGAAATAGCCCAAACACAGCCTGAGATGGCTTCAGAACAGCAGTCTGAGTCCCACAGCATCACCCGCTGCTCTCTTTATGGTGCTTTATGGCTAAGGTGACCAGCGGAGGTGAGGAGAACACAGAGATGCATGTTAAGACCTCATTGAGCTGAAAGGAGAGGAAGGTTTATTACCACCAGGACCACAAAACAAATCATCTTGGAAGTAACACGAGTTGCCTCCTCCTTCCTGATGGAACACAGCCTGGCAGCAGGCTGCAGAGGCCGAAAAGAGAATAGGGCTCGGACAGCATCCCCTGATGGGACACTGATGGGACATGTAACCACACCGACTTGCTGCTCGGGTGTCATCAATTATTAGTCACAACCACACAGCTGTAAGTACAAAAGATGCAATGGATCACCGCCAAAGTTCAGCCCTCAAGGTCTCACACAATGTGCCTTGCAAAGCCATTTTTCCTTTTTCCAAACTGGAGGCCCAGCCCAAGTCACTGGGAATCAGACTTCAGGTGACACCAGCCTCTTGCAGAGGCCTCTTCCAAGCACACGGCCAGCGTTTGGTTCCTGCCAACTCAGAGTATTCCTCAGCCTGCTCCAAACAGCAGCCACGCAGCACATTGTTCCCCAAGCAGAAGGCCATGCAGGACCTCTCAGCCTGAACCCTGTGCACAAGTGAGTCTGTGCACAGCCAGTCTGCACACCAGGGACCCCAAGCGCAGGCTGAACCAGAGGACAAGGGCAGCACAAGCAGCACACAGCCCCTCTGTGCCAGCACCACGGGGCCAGGAGCTGGTGACCGTAGGAGGGAGCACTTTGGAAAACAGCAGCTGTGGGCAGAGGGCTCTGCGGCCATCCATCCCTGTGGTGCTTCCCAGCAGCAGCGCTGCTGCTCAGGGCTGAGACTGCCCGACCCCAGAGGAACACCAGTAACCAGAGCATCCAGCTCGAGTTCCCAGCAAATGTCAAGTCGCAACAAAGGCCTTGCCTTGTTCCAAGTCCTCCTCCACTGTCTTCTATGTGAGCCGCAACATTTCACTCCAGCTTTATTTTTTGACATTTCACCTTCTATTGTGGAAAGTCATTGCATTTTCACTCAAAACCCATATCTCCAGCTGCAGCTTCCCCAGCTTGGCTCCACTGGGTCCGCACCACAGCCCAGCAAACAAGCTCAGTGCCAGCAGCCACACGGAGGAGGAAGGTGATGTGGGCAGACCTGGTAGCACTGTACCCTCTGAAACGCTGCCTCAGTTGCCAGGTCTTCCCTTCTTTTTGTTGCTCAAAGAAATGGCTGAGGGTTGCAGGGAAGGAGCTCCCCACCCCCACCCGAAAGCGAGCAGTAGGGCGACGCTACAGCGCTCATGGGCTGAGGAGCACTGGAGAGGGGCAAAGCGAGCGGGACATGTTCTGTGCTTCCTGAGAGAGGGTTAAAAACACCCTCTGAGTAAAGGATCTCCAGCTCACATCTCACCTCAGTCACCCCCTTCTAGCTCAAAGCCACACCCCCGTTCTGTCGCTATCACACCGCGTACAGTCGCTCTTCCCCATTTCCGAGTTCAGCCTCACGGTTCGGGTCGGCCCCAGCGCTCTCACCTTGTACACCTTGGAGAAGAAGCCGCTCCCGACCAGCTCGGCGCTGAAGCTTTCCCAGAACTCCAGCCTCCGGACGGCGGTGCGCAGCCTCTGCCAGCGGTCCATACGGCAGCAGGTGTCCGACGACTCGCCGTAGCGCCGCGCCGCCTCGCAGGGCTCCGGTGCCAGCAGCCCCGCCTCGCACATCGCGGGGCGGCAGCCGAAACGCAGCGCGTTCCGCAGGGAGCCGACAGCAACACGTTGCGCTCCGACCCAGCGCCTGCACCGGGAAACAGAGCTGGACGAAGCCGGAACAACACGGGGAGAGCAGACATGCCGTGCTGCACCGCGGAGCTCGCGCCGCCCGCGGGCGCTACCTCTGTGGTGAGGCGCCCTGCCTCGTGTGGGTTGCGTTCGTACTCCTTCAGATGAGAATGTAAAGATGTCACATTAATGTACGTTCACTTCTACCTTCTAGGACAGGCAGGATGCATTGCCTCCACCGCCTGACAGTGCAGCCCGAGGAAAACCTGGGGAACGCTGCTCGACCTGACCAGCTCACACTGGGCTACAAGCCACCGTGTCAGAACTGCTCCGAACACAGCTCATGTGGCACAGAGTAACGCCACATTCCTTACTGCAGGCCTCCAGACAAGCCTTCTGAGGATGCCAATGCAAAACGTGCCATCTTAAAAGGGTCCTCGCTCAGCAGGTCCCCTCTGTTCAACAGAAGCCCTGAAGAATGACATATGGGGGAAATGCCCCAGCAACTCCCTGCCTCTCTACGTATCCCAAATCTGTGTCTAACTCCCTCTATTAAATTGTCTCGCTTCTTCACTAATACTTTTCTCAACAGCCCTCTCCCCCCGGGCTCTTTCTGCCTTTGTTAGGACCGTGTTCAGAACCCTCCAAAGCAATGCCACCCCTACTTCCCCACTGCATCACTTTCTCCCCAGATGCAGGGAAGGCAAATCCAGGAAAAGCAGAAAATGGGCTTCTGACACTGATGTCTAAGCCAGCACTACTTCTGGGTACCTCGCAAGCCACTGGTGCTTAACAGAGCCGTTTGAGCATTTTCCCCTCTCAGCACATGCTCAGACCATAACCAAAGGAGACGACAGTCGGCAGAAGGATGCTCCAAAGCTTCCAGCTGAAGCCAAGGAAGCTCTGTCCTCCCCGAGCTCCTGTCCCAGGTCTTGCACCACAACACTTGCACCAACCTCCCCACCCTCCCACAGCCCTGCAACTGAGATGCAGGGAGAGCTGCCAAGGGAGCACAGGGGCAGAAACTCACCCTCCGTGCCTGCAGGGCGCCCGCACAGGCACGCACAGCTCCTCTCCAGCCAAGCAGGCTGAGGGGAGCTGCCCCTGCAATGGGAATGGCTTCCTTCCCACTGCCCCCTCTGTTCCCTGCTTTTCCCACGTATCTCCTCCTGCTGTGACCCAGTTCATCAAATGTCCCTTTGTCCACAGAAGAATCCCCACAACGCCCTCGGCACGCTGGGATGCCCTGAATGTTATGCCAACGAGTGGGAGCCAAGTCTTTATTTTCTTCCCAGAAACGTGTTTGTCCCAGATGAGGGCTGACAAGTAGTAGGCTGGGGAAGAAAATGGCCTTCCAAAATGCAAAGATTTATGTCATGGCTTCTTTGGAGCCAGGGGAGAGGGGACGTGGAGCACTGAGGTCTTTCTCAATCCCTCCTCTGGGATTTCTCCATCTACAGGTGCTGGGACACCTGAGCATCCCAACAGACCCAGGCTGTCCTGCAAGAGTGCAAAACCCCAGGCTGCAAATCCCCCTTCCAGACAAGTGGTCAGGGAGGAGCTCCATACAAAGACAGCCTGCAGAGGATGCTACAGGGTGCTCCCCTCCTCCACAGAGCAATCATGAAATCACAGAACTGCTCAGTTGGAAAGGACTTAAAAGACCATCCGGTTCCAACCCCCTGCTGTGGGCTGGGTGCCCCCTACTATCAGGCTGCCCGGAGCCACATGTGTGGCCTTGGGCACCTCCAAGGACCACCAATCCCCAGCTCAGACACATCCACACACACCGAACCAAGTCCCACTTTAAGTGGTTTCCATAAAACCACTCAGGTCCAAACACACTGAGATTTTGGGGCAGTCTGGCCTCCAGCAAGGTTAAGGATTCAGGCACCATTTCAGTGTTATTTCATGGAGAGTTTGTCAAGTTTCAGCAGAGATTCACCAAACCACCTATGGGGGTCCCTGTGTGGACGACTCCCAGCAGCACTTCCCATGCTCACAAAGTGCCAAACCGCTGTCTGTCTGATGGGAAACCTGCGGGGGGTTTGAAGGAAGAGAAACGTGACAAAAATCAAAGGAAAACACTCCCCAAGACAGTCAGCAGCAAAGGCTTTGATTGAGCCCGCTTTGCAAAATGGTGACTGATGAGGCGCACAGATCCCTTTGAAACAGAAATGGTGCAGAAGAAGAAAAAACGCCATAACAGCTCGGCAGTCACAAGGCCAATTCCACATCACTCCCTCTAAAAACACCGAACAGGACCACCACCAAACACCCTGCCCCATCTGGGGAATGTTTAGGGGGTACAAACAGGGCTCTGCACTCTGGAAGTCAGGTGGGGACTCAATTTTAAAGGTGGAAAGCTGCCAGCAAAGGGCTTGGTGACAAACTCTGCTTCGGAGAGGACCTGAGCCCCGTGCTCCACCTACATCTGCTCCTCGGAGATGGGGGAACAGGACAGGTGAAGCAGACAGCTCACATGGTCCCACCTCACCGACTGCTTCATCTCCTCTGCTGGGGGGTGACGGAAGAAGGGCCCCACGGGGCCAACGGAGCTGCTGGCTGCACTGGGGACAGGGGCAGATGGAAAGGACTGCAGAACCCTGCTCTTCTGAGGCTGTTCCTGGGAAAATTCTGACCATGATAAGCCAAGTTAAAGCTTTCAAGGTCTTTGAAACCTGTGGGTGGGCAGATATTGTTTATCACTGTGACTGTTCTCCTCCAGGAGATCATTTATTCATTACTCATCTGTTCCTCACAGCACTGCACCATCCCCAGTGCCTGACAAAGGGCTCTCTGCTGACATTAGCCCAAAGCCCTGTTTGCATCAGGATGGGCAGGAAGGAAAGACAGCTTTGCATGACACGTCACTGTCCTGTTTCTGTAGGAAAGCCACACAGCAGCACTGTACAGCTGAGATGGATGTGGAAAGCAGGGTGCTGGTGCCTGCAGGGCCACTCTAGAACCAGGTATGTTTGCATCAGGGCAAGAGCATCTGCCAGACCTCATCTCTGACTCCAGATGGCCTTTCAGCCCCACATCAACCAAGAAATTATGATTTCCCATTGCCTTCAGGATGCAGCAATGCAGGGTGCAACATGCTACATCCTCCAGCGACAGGACAAGAGGGGACGGCTTCAAATTGTGCCAGTGTGGTTCACATCAGATACTAGGAAACATTTATTCTCCAGAATAGTGGTCAGGCACTGGCACAGGCTGCCCAGGGAGCGGTGGAGTCACCATTCCTGGAGGTGTTCCAGAACTGAGGAGATGTGGCATTTGGGAACATGGTTAGTGGGCAGGATTGATGGCAGTGGGTTGGACTGGGTGATCTTGGAAGTCTTTTCCAACCTTAATGATCTATGCCTTTGCTTTCAAGAGCCTACAGCAACAAGCAATCCATTGGATCTGGTCAAAACCAAGGGATATCAAGCAGCCTTGTCACGTGCCCCACTGACCCCAATGCCCTTCCCTGCTCAGCAATGATCAAGCTCTGCAAAACCTAAAGCAAAAACAACACACCTGTTCTGTGAAGATCATTCACCCTGTTCCCTTCCCAGACCGCTTCTCCTCTCTCCACATTTGCAGCTGTTAAAGGAAAAAAAAAAAAGGCCAAAGGTCTACAGGGAGGAGGCAGAAAGCTGTGTCTGCCCACACGGAGCCCAGCAGCAGCAGGCACACAGCACAGCAGGCGACTGAATGTTAAAACCCATCTCAGCACTGCCAGGGGAACTGGACTCACATTTCCTAACGCTGCCTCCAGTACAGGATGCATGTGCCACCCTGAGGCAGCAGCTCCAGTGCAAGGGATAAGCCTGATCCACCGTGAGAGGAAGGGCAAAGCTCCCCCCGGGGTGAAGCACGCCAAAATGCATCTGCTCCCTGCCCCTGCACTTCATCTGCCTCTAATTAGGGTCCCTAAATGTGCCAAACTTGTTCCCCCCAGCATATTTTCCACTCTCCAGACCACAAAAGACCCCGGTAAAAATCCAGCAGATAAAGCTGAGATCCAGTTAAACATCACAAACGTTATTTTTCCAAGCAGCAGCACTAAAGAAGGCAGGTACCCCTGCTAGGGAACCCAATCACTCTTGACCCGACTGAACCAGTTTATCCATCCATAAACAAGTAGTATTTGCTCTACAACACATGAACACATTTTTTGAGACAAGAAAGCTGCTTTCCCAGGCTCTGCATGCAGCAGCAGAGGCAGCAAACACCAGGAGCACTGACCCATCACAGAGGACCAAGGAAACTCAACGAGAGAACAGACTTGTACCTGAGATGACCATTTTTGTAGCAGCATAGTGAAACAGACTGAATCCTCAGGCAATGCCGGCTCTGCACAGATGTGTGCTCCACCCTTTCTAGCCCTTGATTGCAAAGACCTTACTATTGCTAAGAGATGGGAAAACGGAAGGCAAATCGTCCCATGCAGTCTCACAGCACACAGACTCTTTCCAAACTCACCCACTCATCACAGCAGAGCGACACAAGTCGGAGCTGCCGGTGCGGTCGGCACCACGGGGCAGTGCCGGCAGTGCCACGGCTCGCTCGGTGCCCCGAAGTCTCCATCCGCCACGCGCGGCCCTTCGAGCCACCATCGGACAGGACAGGAGCCACAGAGCTGCTGCCCCAGAAAACCCGAACCCCACGGCCTTCCTCTGTACCAGCTTTCTTCCCCCAGCCTTCCAAACTGCCCACGGCCTGCCTTTAAATTAAAACCCCATGCACTATCAGAGACGTCGCTCTGCACGGAGGGGCTGCAGACGGGGAACGGCAGCCCAGCCCAGCGCAGCTCCGCCGGGGCCACGCACAAAGCGGGCTCTGGAGCCCAGCATCAGCTCTGCCCCCTCCCGACGCCTCCAGCCGGCAAGGCGTCACTAACCGGCGGCCGCCCGCAGCCGTGTGACGGCCGGCACTCACCCGCTCGCCCCGCAGCTCCTCCGCACCCGCTCCCTCGGGCCGAGCAGCCCGCGGCCCCGCCCCGCCCCACGCACGGCTGCGGCTCCTCCCTCCGTGCCCCCTGGAGCTGGAGGCCGTTCTCCCCGCACCGCGCCGGGGTTGCGGGTCATCCTGGGGCGAGGTGCGGAAACGCTGACGGACTCACGAGGACGCCGTTGTCGGACCCCACCGGTACTCGGAGACTGACCGGGACGGCCCAGCACTTGATCGAAGCCAGAGCCCAGGGAACCCCAACCTGAGGAGAGCGCTTTTTCTTCCTGTCTCTGGCAGCAGCTCACATCCCCTCCGCCGGCTCTGCCTCCCGTCCCAGCCCCGGCCCGGCCCCCCGAGGATCCAGCTCTCCACGGACCCGCCGGGCATCAGCAGGGCAGCCCCCCTCCTTGCACAGTGGGCGCTGCGAACCCCGCGGCCGGAACACCCAGCAGCCGTTGGGGTTTTCCGCCGAGGGCAGAGCGACCAAATCTGGGTCACACGCCAGATGGAGGCAGTTAGGACAGGGGACACAGCTGTGGCAATGGGGGCAGGTAGTGGCACGTGGACACGTGCAAAGGAACATCTCACCACTGCCAGTGTCAAGGGAGCACTGCCCAGCTCTCCCCAGAGCCCAGCCACATCTTGCAGCCCCTTCTATCCCTATAAAATGATCCTTAACAAGGGGAACAACAGAAGTCCCCTTCCTGCAGGATGCTGAGCAGCTGTCCAGGGGTCACATAGCCATGTGATTCTGCAGAACACACCACCAAAAGCTGCTGCTGAGCAAAGGACAGCATTTACACATAACTGGTAATTAAGACTCTTGAAGGCTTCTAGATATCTGATCTGAAGAGGGTTTAAAGCCTATTTACTGCTGTCTTGCAAACATGGTTGCTAAGCAGCAGCTGTAAGTAACATCTCCAGCAGTGTGCCTCTGCTGCAGCACCAAGCAGAGGGCAGCCAGCTCTGCCATCACAGAGGAGAGTCAGAGGCAGCAGCAAAAGCAGAGCTGCCCAGTGTGACCATGCTTAGCCAAACCACACTACAGCTTCAGGCTACACTGTTCCTACCAATCAGGGACATTTGGGGTACATCATCCTTGCAGCTAGCAGCAGAAATGCAAGGGATGCAAAGAGTAACAAGAAGGGATTATGCAGGTACATTAGTCAAAAAATTAAAGACAAAGAGAGTGCATCCCTTCTGATAAAGAAGAAAGGGAAAATGGCCAGTGAGCAAAACGAGCAAAATGAGCAGTGTTCCCCAGGGGGTCCATCTTGGGACCAGAACTCTTGAACATCTTGATCAGTGACTTAGATGATGGGATTGAGTGCACCCTCAGCAAGTCTGCAGACAGCACCAAGGTGAGTGGTGCAGCTGATGTAACAGAAGGAAGGGATGCCATCCAGAGGGACCTGGGCAGGCACGAAAGGTTGGCCCATGTAAACCTAATGAGGATCAACAAGGCCAAGTGTGAGGTGCTGCATTGGATTGGGGCAATGCCAGGCATTTATACAAACTGCGGGAAGATCTTCTTGAGAGCAGCCATGCAGAGAAGGACGTGGGGGTCCTGGTGGGCACAGAGCTGCACACGAGCAGCAGTGTGCGCCCGCAGCCCGGGAGGCCAGCAGCACCCTGGGCTGCACCAACAGAGGGCTGGCAGCGGGCAGGGAGGGGATTGTCCCCCTCTGCTCTGCCCTCGTGAGGCCCCATCTGCAGTACTGCGTCCAGGCCTGGGGCCCCCGGCGCAGGAAAGACGTGGGGCTGCTGGAGCGGGTCCAGAGGAGGCCACGAGGACACTCAGAGGGTGCAGCACCTCTGCTGCAAAGACAGGCTGAGGAGCTGGGGGTGCTCAGCCTGGAGGAGAGCAGGCTGCGGGGAGACCTTCCAGAAGTTGAAGGGAGCTTATAAGCAGAAGGGAAACCAATTTGTAACATGTGCAGCTGGTGACAGGACAAGGGGGAATGGCTTTAAATGAAAAGAGGGGAAATTTAGGTTAGATGTTAGAAATTCTTTATTCAGACACTGGTGAGGTACCAAAACAGGTTGCCCAAAGAAGCTGTGGGTGTCCCAACTCTGGAGGTACCCAAGGCTGTGGATGGGGCCCTGGGCAGCCTGAGCTTGGGAGGGCAGCCAGCCCATGGCAGGGATGGGGATGGATGATCTTTAAGGTCCCTTCCAATCTGAGCCATTCTATGATCTTATAATACTTTGGAGGTAAATCCCAGGCACATCCCTTCCCATTGCACTACAGGTTCCAGGTACTACAGGTACTACAGGCTACAGGCCTGCCTTGCTGCCCAGCCAGCACCGTGCTCTCGCCATCTCACCTCCTACCTGCTCCTTCCAGACTGCCCATCAAGAGCAAATTACTCAGTGCTGGGGTAAAAGGAAAACTCCAGCTCTTTCTCCCTCTTTTGCTTTCCTGAGCACACAAACATGCCTTCACGGGCTGCATATTATTTTTATGCAGCAGCTCATGGCCACCTACACTTCGCTGTCCTTCCTCAAATTCACCCATGAGCATGCACCATTTTCCCTGCCCTGTGCAAAATGCAGCACCGAGAGCAGCCCTGTCAGCAGCTGTCAGCTTGTACAGCTTGCAGGGAAGCTGTGAATTATCCAGTGATTGTTGGCAGGTGTCAGATTAGAGAGGCAGTGCTCAAGTCCAGTCCAGCTGAACAAGCAGCCGGATCGCTATGTGGCTCCAACGTCTGCATCGCGAAAGCAGATGAGCACTGCACAGGCTGGAAATGACACTTCCATGAGTACAAAGTGCCAGCAGCAAACCTCACAGCACTGCTTGATGCCCAAGAAGAACCTGCACTGCCAAACAGAAAGACACAAGACCCAAATGAATTGCCACTTACGTTTCCACTAGCAAGAATCTCCTTCCCTTGTCCAGGTGCATCGTCTAGCAGAGCTTTAAGTAACGGATCACCTCTCTGAGGCTCCATGGTATGCACACAGCTCCTCGTGCCCACCAGCCATGGCACAGCAGGGGTTCCAGCATGTCCGTGGCAGCAGTCAGGCAGCAGCTCTGCTTGAATTCCACCCCCACTGTCAATTGCTTTAGGATTATCAGGAATCCTGGAATATTTCCAAGGCTGCTCTATTCTGTGTGCATGCTGCCACTGATGTGATTAAGCAAAGGTCAAAGGGTGTCCTGGAGGAGCTGAGAAGCCAGTTAAGCCTCAGCTGGTCTTTGATCTGACAGCCACCAAATGGTTGTGGGGACTTCCACACCAGCTGGCAGCCCCCAAGAAACTGCAAGGTGAGAGCTGCCTGTAGTCAGCACTGGAGATCTCTGCAGGTGCATGCCACATATGGCAGAACCATATGTGTGACAACAGAGACAAGATTTGGTCCCAGAGCAACAGCCTTAAAAGGAGCCTACAGAAGGTGCAAACTGCCCTGATGGAAAAGGTCCAATAATAGAAAATCCCTCTGGTGAGGTCTGACTTGAGGGCCCAGGTGTGTCTCATTGCATGGAAGAGCCACTGTGACCAGGGTAAGAACTCCTGGGAGACCCAGGCAAGCCTGTACACCAGGGCAACAGGGAGAGGGACTGGAGACATCTAAGCACACGCAATTTTGAACCCAAACTCGAGGGAAGGCCATACCCTACAGAGCACAGCCCTGCATCACTCCGTAGGTTGATGCTGTGCGAGATATTTGTTCTCTCTACGTACCTTGGGAGATACCTTCTAGAAATAAGACCCATGCAGTCATGCTGCCTCCACTGGATTGAACCACCATGGATAACTTTTAGCTCATTTGCCACTTTAGCCACATCTGACAGAATGGCTAAGACCTTAGAAGTGCTTAGTTTTCTGAAAACAGGCAGCAGATAGGGAAGTGAGACCATGCCTGTGTTCTCCATGCAGGACATGCTTCAGCATGAATTCACCCCATCACAAGCATTTAAAAACCCTCACCCCAGAGCAATTGCTTTCAGATCCAGCAGTCAGAAAGGCTCTGTCAGGAGCTTGCATTTTCCTAGACAGTAAAACAGCACTGCAGAGTACCCAACTGGAATAAACCTTCAGACAAAGTCCAGAGACAGCACAGCCACTGCCCACACCTGCCAAGACATCTACTGCAGCTCTTTCTGGGTAACATGGAACAACCAGGAGACAGTTGGCAGCTGAGCAGAACACCAGGGAACTGGGTGCTGCCAGAAGAGGAAGTTTATAGCCTGAGAAATGGTGTGCAGGAATTCTTCTCCCAGAGGAGAAAAATCACAAGGCAAGCATCACTCTGCAGGACACTATGACTTACTTTGGTGCTTTTAAAAAGCCTGAGGTTCCTGCTGAGCTCCTCTCCTGCCCCAAGGCACGCACCCACCTGCCCACTGCATACCAGGCCACAAACAGCTGTGCTAGTGGCTGCCTCCGGGACCTCGTCCTTGGCCATGTCTGAGAGCTGCTAACATCACTGCCTGTTCACAGTAGGTCTAAACCCTTACACAGGGACAGACTGCACCCTCCTGTGAAACACAAGAAACGAGTAATGCCAGTTGTTGGCATACAGCCCCACTTCTGGCTGGGCTTAGGAGCATTGCTTGCAGAATGGATTTGGAGCAATGGATGCCTGCCAGTGCAGCACAGACTGCCCTGGTTAATAAAAGGCAACAGCACTTTCATCAGGACGCACAGCTCCCAGGTTC